ACAAGCTACTCTGATCACTCCCTATTTGTTAAATCCAAAACATCATCCATTAAAATATTGTTAGTCTATGTTGATGATGTAATTCTAGTAGGGAATGATTTTAATGAATTCAATTCAATGAAATTGGCATTGGATAATACATTCAAAATCAAAAATTTAGGTAAGCTGGAGTATTTTCTAGGCATTGAAGTGACACAATCAAAGGAAGGTATATTCTTAAATAAAAGAAAGTATTTACTTGATTTTTTAGATGATTCGAGTTTCATTGAATCCAAACTGGGATCACTACATCATCTAATTTTCTCATAAAGTTACATCATGATTGCAACACTACTTACCATGATATACCATAACATAACTTACAGTATACAACAGTTGAGTCAGTTCTTATCATCTCCTACTATAACTCACTTCAATGCTGCTTGCAAAGTTCTTAAATATCTCAAAACATGTCCAACTCAAGGCATCCTTTTACTTATAAACTCAACTCTACAATTGAGTGGATTCTCAGATGTTGACTGGGTAGGATGCATATATACTCGAATATCAGTTTCAGGCCAATGTTTCCTTTTTGGTATATTACTTATTTCATGGAGAACAAATAAACAAATGATTGTCTTGAGATCTTCATCAGAAATTGAATATAGAGCCCTTGCACTCGCCACTTGTGATCTTCAATGGCTCCTATATCTCATGAATGATTTGCATATAGAATGTACCAGAATTTCTTTCATATATTGTGATAATCAAAGTGCTCTTCACATAGTCTTCAATCTCATTTTTCATGAACTAACTAAACATTTGAAAATCCGCCATATTGTAAGAGAAATCAAAGCAAATGAGTTAGGAAACTACTTCTAGTCAATTCAAAAGATCAAATTGCTGATTTGTTCACAAAAGGCATTGCATCCTCAACCATTATGACTTGTTAGCCAAATGGAAGATGATAAATATCTACAACTAATATAGCACGTGAGGATAAGGTGTAGAATCTTATGGTGCAAGCTACCTTCTTCATATTTATATAACTCACTATGTATTAACTTGTTTTCTAATGAGAATTTTACTTCATCATGTTAATTTCTATTCTCATGTTATTTATTTGTTTTCATTTAGGAATAACAACCGAAAATTAAAATTCATCAAAAATTGAAAACATAAACTAATCGACTTCAAAGAGAATAATAAGTTATCAAATAGAAAGTGATTATGGCAATCTTTTAAAATCATAATGATACATGCTTTCGGTTCTATCATCACCCTACAAACAAAGAATACAAATATTTTCCATTTAATAAAAACACAATGTATTAAAATATTTTATTTTATTTGAAAACCATAGGTTGGATTCCAATAGTCAATACAGGGAATAGCAATGCTACAGTGCCCTTCAGGTCCACCACCTTCTCTTTCCTAACAGCTTTAATCATGGTTTGAATCCAGTATAGGAAGCCAAAAACTCTTCGGTAGTTAAATCCGAATATGGATTTAGACCAAGTGTATAACTCTTCTTACCACCATTATTAAACTTCTCTATGTATTCTAAATTTTCTTTGAATATTTGTAAGCGTTTCTCCATCTCAGAGCTATTTGTATATGTGATTCCATACTTCTTCATCCATTGTTGATGTGCTTTAATAACAGATGACTCAAACAACATTCGAGACATGCTTGGGTATGCAAATGTCGACAAGACGATGATGCAAACAGTAATAAGATGCTTCATATTTGTGTATAGAGAATGTTTTATGAAAAATGACTCATAAAATTAACACATATACCATCGTTGATGATTATTCCAGAAAGCTATGGGTATTTATTCAGAAGACGAAGGATGAAACTTTTGAGAATTTCAAAAGTTGGAAGATTCTGGTCGAAAATCAAACTGGCAGAAAGGTTAAAAGGTTGAGAACCGACAATGGCGTTGAATTCTGCAATGAAGCGTTCAACAGTTACTGTGTTGAGTCCGGGATTGCAAGGCATAAGACTGTAGCAGGTACTCCTCAACAAAATGGCTTAGCTGAGAGATTCAATTGAACAATCCTTGAAAGGGTTAGATGCATGTTGGTTAGTGCTGGATTGAAGAAGGTGTTTTGGGCGGAAGCTGTTTCGACAACAGCTTACCTGATAAATAGATGTCCCTCAACTACCTTGGGAATGAGGATACCTGAAGAAGTTTGGTCGGGACATCCACCTAGTCTCGACAGACTGAGAGTATTTGGTTGTGTGGCCTATGCTCATATTAGGCAAGACAAGGTCAAACCTAGAGCTCTGAAATGTATGTTCATGGGATACCCTGAAGGAGTAAAAGCTTATAAGCTATGGTGCCTAGAGCCAGGTCACAGAAGGTGCATCACCAGTCGAGATGTAGTTTTCAATGAAGCGGAAATGGCTTTCAAGAAAACTGATGATGTTGACGAAGAGCTGGAACAGGGAGAGATTCCTGTTGAGGTGGAGCATGTTGATGCTGAATTGCTTACCCCAGATGAAGTCGAAGAAGACGCAGAAGATGTTTTCGAAGATGAGGAGACTGGTAGTGACTACCTGCTAGCAAGAGATAGGTCGAGGAGAGTCATAAAGCCACCTCAGAGACTTGGGTATGCAGATCTTATAACTTTTGCCTTAATCTCTGCAAGTGAGGTTCTAGACAAAGAACTTAGAGACTATAAGGAAGTTATGAGGAATCAAAAGAAGACTGAATGGCTGAAGGCCATGGATGATGAGATGAAATCTCTTCATGATAACAACACCTGGGAACTGATCAAGGAACCTGCTGGAGCCAGGTTAGTCAGCTGTAAATGGATTTTTAAAGTTAAGGAAGGATTGACGTCGAAGAGATACAAGGCAAGATTGGTTGCTAGGGGGTTCACTCAGAAAGAAGTTATCGACTTCAATGATGTGTTTTCTCCTGTTTTGAAGCACAGACCCATTCGAATGTTGCTTGCCATGGTGGCCCAGTTCGACCTTGAACTGGAACAGATGGATGTGAAGACTGCGTTCTTGTATGGTGATCTAGATGAAACAATCCTGATGAGGCAACCTGAAGGGTATGTCAAAAGGGGGAAGGAATATTATGTGTGCAAACTGAATAGATCTTTATATGGACTGAAACAATCTCCTCGACAGTGGAATATGAGATTTGACAAGTTCATGGCACACATAAGTTTCATCAGAAGTCAGTTCGACTATTGTGTTTACTTCAGATTTTGACCGGGTCATTCATTTGTTATTTTGTTGCTCTATGTGGATGATATTCTAATAGCAAGCAATAATGTCGAAGAGGTAATGAGGGTGAAGGCTGAACTCAATAAAGAGTTCGACATGAAGGATCTGGGAGCTGCGTCCAGGATTCTTGGGATTGACATCCGGAGAGATAGAAAGCAGTCGAAATTATGCTTATCCCAAGAGGCATACCTACAGAAGGTTCTCGAAAAGTTTGGTATGTCGAATTCAAAGCCTGTTGTGACTCCGACAAACCCTCAATTCAAGCTGAGTATAGATCAGTGTCCCAGCACTGATGTTGAAAGAACTTATATGAATAGCATTCCATATGCTAACATAGTAGGTTCTTTGATGTATTCTATGGTTTGTACTAGACCCGGCATAGCATATGCAGTAAGTCTTGTAAGCAGGTACATGGCGAATCCTGGAAAGGCTCACTGGCAAGCATTGAAGTGGATTTTAAGGTACATAAATGGGTCTCTGAATAGAGTCCTAATTTATGGTGGAGCCTTGGGTGAAGATAGTAAAGCAACAATCGAAGGATATGTCGACTCTGATTATGCAGGTTGTATGGATTCTAGAAAATCTATCTCCGGATATGTGTTTATTATGTTTGGGACAGCAATCAGTTGGAAAACAACACTTCAGAAGGTCGTTGTCTTATCAACCACTGAAGCGGAGTATATTTCCCTAACTGAAGTTGTGAAGGAAGCATTGTGGCTTGAAGGTTTTGCAAAGGAGCTAAAACTTCAAGGTCGAGTTATCACTGTTAAATGTGATAGTCAAAGTTCAATACACCTGTCGAAGAATTCAACATATCATGAGCGAACCAAGCACATTGATGTGAGGCTGCATTTCATCAGAGGGGTAATCGAGCGTGGAGAAGTCAAAGTGCTGAAGGTTTCGACCGATCATAATGTTGTTGATATGATCACCAAGACGTTGCCCAGTTGCAAGTTTTTTCACTGTATGCAGTTAATAAAGCTGCATGAAGAAAGCTAGTTTCTTGATGTTATAGAGTTAGATCCAAGGTGGAGATTTGTGAGATGTTGGATCGAACTCTAGTATGGTCGAAGTTTGTTCGCGAGTAATGCGTGTTGTAGTCGAAGTTTGTTCTAACATGCATTAGTCAATATTGCTAGGGTTGTTAGCATGTTGAATTGAGTCTTCCTTGTAAGCCCAATTGTTTAAGTTAGTTTGTACCCCAAATTAGCTTGTAATGGGTAATTGTTAAAAAACTCATTAGGTTAGTGTGCTATTTTTCTTATAAATAGGATACTAGTTTCTCAATCTTGATATAAGGAAAAATAGGAAGATAAAATTCTAATTTCAAGAGAGATGTTATTTTGTTATTGTTCTAAGAGAAAGAAAAGAATAGTAGTTTAATAATCAATCCTTATTATTTTCTTCTTTATTAACCTTAACTCTGGCGTGTTTCTTGATCACAAAAAAACTGATTATACTTAATTTTAAAGTATCCGATTCACAACAAATATGAAGAAGGTAGCTTGCACCATAAGATTCTATTTCAAAGAGAATAATAAGTTATCAAATAGAAAGTGATTATGGAAATCTTTTAAAATCATAACGATACATGCTTTCAGTTCTATCATCACCCTACAAACAACCGATACAAATATTTTCCATTTAATAAAAACACAATGTATTAAAATATTTTATTTTATTTGAAAACCATAGGTTGGATTCCAATAGTCAATACAGGGAATAGCAATGCTACAGTGCCCTTCAGGTCCACCACCTTCTCTTTCCTAACAGCTTTAATCATGGTTTGAAACTTTGAGTCCAGTATGGGAAGCCAAAAACTCTTCGGCAGTTAAATCGGAATATGGATTAAGACCAAGTGTATAACTCTTCTTACCACCATTATTAAACTTCTCTATGTATTCTAAATTTTCTTTGAATATTTGTAAGCGTTTCTCCATCTCAGAGCTATTTGTATATGTGATTCCATACTTCTTCATCCATTGTTGATGTGCTTTAATAACAGATGACTCAAACAACATTCGAGACATGCTTGGGTATGCAAATGTCGACAAGACGATGATGCAAACAGTAATAAGATGCTTCATATTTGTGTATTTTATGCTTAAATATAAAAGAGAATGTTTTATGAAAAATGACTCATATAATATTAACACATATACCACCTTTTATAGAATTCAACTTTTATGATATAATATTTGAGAAATTCCATTCTTAAAGATATCATATTAAAAAAGTTTTTTTAATTATATATGATTATTTTAATTTTTTGATACAACACTAATACATTGCTACATATTAATATTAAAGTTTTAAATAAAAAATACCATTCGTGGAATTATTTTCAATTTAACGAATACATATGTATTATATGTTACATTTGTTATTTAAATTTGAATATATAGAATTTTTAATGGGAATATCATTATTTTTAATAGGTATCATATAATTTATTTCTAAAAATATATGGTCAATTATGTTTTGTTGACGATTAGATATATAAGAAATCAATAAATTAGAATTCAAAAGGACGGTTGAAAAGAATTCAATCCAGTCCATTAATTTAATTTAATTGAATGTTAATGAATCGATTGTTCTTATTTCTCGTAATGGCAAAATATATTCACTTTTGAATCATCCCCACTTTAATAACGAGTCAAATGAGAACATTTAATTACTATTAAAAACAAGAATAATCAATTTTGACCATTGAATTTAGATTAAATAAAATTAATAGACTAAATTGAAATCTCTTTCTAAAATCTTTTATATTGTAACTTATATAATCATTACCAAACTCAATTCACATTAAAATTAATACCTTTTAAAAATAATGATATTCAATTAAAAATATTTTTAAAATGACATAATAATTCGATAGTTAATATATATATATATATATATATATATATATATATATATATATATATATATATATATATATATATATATATATATATATATATATATATATATATATATATATATATATATATATATATATATATGGAGATCTACTTACTCCATATCACATAATCTTTAAATTAAATCTAATCTAATGGTTAAATTAGATTTTATACTTATAATCATTTTATTAAGTTTAATTTAAAGGCTATGATTGTGGAGTAGTATAAAAACTTACTCTTTGAATAAATGGATCCTTAATATATATATATAATTGTACTACGATCATCTTTTGCTTTTGTATAAAAGGAATAATTAGAAATGTCGTATGTCGTCCAAGTTATCACAGTAAATTTTGTTATGTGGGATAAACATTTAAATATCTCGAATGCACAATCATCATTAGAAATCCTCATATTAAACCAACTTATGAATTCTTTGTTATGTTGGGTCAACAACAACTTGTCATTCGTTCGAGGATATTTTTTCTTTATAACTTTTTTGTGAGCAGCTATGTAAGGTTCAACTACACTAAGATTATTCAAAATATATAACTTTGCTTGAATTATTACATCCTGGCCCATTGACTTAACATTTTAACCTTAATTACTTCTATCTTCAAATCTATCAGCATGACAAGACTTCGAAATTCCAATAGACTCTATTTCCAACAAATAGTTTGAACAAAACTCAAGATCTTCTTCTATGATGTACCTTTCAACGATAGAAGCTTCCAATCGGTGATGATTCTTTGTTTATCCTTATTTTAAATATCTTGATGTATCGATCTATATGATATATCAAACTTAAACTAACTGGACTACAATATCTGATTTCTCTGACTAGATGAACAAGTAGGTGAACCATAATGTCAAAAAATTATGGAAGAAAATACATCTCCAATTTACACAATATTATTGCAGCCTCATTGAAGAATAAGCATAATCTGGTTATAGTTACTCTTACATTTCTTGGAAGGATGCCACGGGATAGCCAATGGGAAAAGTTTTTGCATCAAGACATGACAATCATGAGATTTTAACTCAACTAAATTGAGATCTTTCATTAATACAAGCTTCTTGATGTTTGAAGAGTAACCTTGGGGAACTTTGATATCATGTAAATACTCACAAAAATTGTTCTTTTTCTTATTAGATAGAGTGTGACATGTTGGATACAAATAAGATCTTTTTCCTCTATCTTTGGGAGTCAAATGTTGTCGTATATCCATCTCCACCATATCTAAACAGGAATTTTTATTATCTTTAGTCTTGCCTAAAATGTTTAAAAGTGTTCCTATCAAACTATACACATTTTTATTCACATGTATCACATCAAAACAATGTCTTACATCAAGTCTAGACCAATATAGAAAAGCAAAGAACATTGATCTCTTTTTCAAAATATTTCTCTCAATGGGACTGATGACAGTCCGTCATTGCATCTAATTAGTTGAAGAATTGGGGAAAAAAACAAGCAAAATATGAGCCAAAGTAATGAATAAAGGTCCAGGAATGAGTGAAAAATAGTCGAGTATGAAAGAATAGGACTTAGTGACAATTCTGGTGCAAAAGGATTGTTTTTCACGCAGCTACTAAAATAATCATGTGCACCATTGTGCGTCATCGCGTGCATGATAGAGGCGAATAAAATGCATCACGAGCATGATGTTTATAAAATGTGTGTGATGGGTGCTTTTATGAGCTTTTTTGGACGCGTTCTGACCCGTTCTGACTGCTTTAAAAGGGGATTTCTATTGTTTAATAAGGGTTACAAAAATTAGAGACTAGAACACGAGTTTGGGAGCACAAAAAGAGATTTTCAGAGCATTTTAAGCCATTGGAGGACATCTCTTCAAGGGACTTCTCATGTTATTTTTATCTATCGGTTATGGTTTTATTTTTTGAATAATGTATAGCTAAATTCTCCTAGGTTAGGTTGTGTGATGATGAACCTTATTTAATCTTGTTTGCATTATATGTTAGTTTGAATTTGTATGGATCCTTTGAATTATAATTTTATTCAGTTGTTGCTTATTCTTAATGCTTTTTATTTGAGATACTTTATTAATCTAATATTGGACACATAGGGATTCTTGACTCGTAGCCTATGCGTTAGACCTAGGGTAATTATTTTACTTACGGTGGTTAACTAGGGATAGGAGACCCCGAGTATTGGCATATGGGATTAGCGGTATGTACATCGCCTAACACTGCTTACGCTAGCAGACTGGGAATAGAAAGCTTCAAGTACTTATTAGTGAGTTATTTTGTGGGGAACTAGCTATAATAGTTTTCTTAATTCTACTTGAGATTATAAGGATAAGATCATTCATACAAGGCATCATACATCAATAAGAGATTATCACTATGCCAAAAAAGACTTTTAGCAGCGCTTTTTTTGGCCTTTAGAGGTAAAGGCAGCGCTTTTTTTAGGGAAAAAGCGCTGCTATAGGCTCCCTTTACCAGCACTTTTAATAGCGCTTTTTTCATCCTATATGTTGCACCCTAAAATTTGCTCAACTTATTTCACCTGATTTTATGTCCCATAGCTTTAGCATTTGCATATTAGGTCATGTACATAATTCATTCATCTGCATAGCATAGCATGGGTAAGCCATCCAACAAGGGACCAAATGCAATTCTTATCTTTATGAGCATATCAAGAGGGTATTATTCAAATTCAAGCACATCCAAGTCATCAGAAAGAAATTGAAATCTGAGAAGCTAGTGGACCAAGCAGTTGATCTATCTCCTATCTTGAGGGTATTTGAAGATCATCAAAGAAGTTGTGAGCTGTGAATTGAGGTTATGGAGGGTATCATGGAAGACCTAGAGGGTCATTTTGAAAGTGAGACAAGTCACTGATGTGGTTACAAGAGCTGCAGTTGAAGACAGTCAACTAGGGTTTCATCTGGGTCAACCCTAGGTCAAATGCTTGGTTGAAGGTCATCAAGGTCTATTTGAAAGATGTGGGGTTCATCATTTGATATGTGGGTATGGGTGTGGTGTTGTTCCAAGAAGAGATCAAGAGAAATCAAGAAGAAGAGAGGTTTCTAAATTAGGGTTTCTGTGTAAAATCCCCTGATTTAGGGTAAACTTCCAAGCAAGATAATTCAAAATTCAAGCCTCAAGTGGATCCTTGGCCAACATTAAACTTGTATAGGATCTCAAGACCTTTAATTTGAGTGGTGGAAGACATCAAGGAGATTTATAGAACTCAAGTTATGGTTCTTGCAAGTTACAGGTCATCTGAGGACACTGAAATTTGTCTGTGAAAGTTACTTGACTTCCAAGCAACTTTTACCCCTCAAGGAGCTTTCAAATGGATTTCTGGTCAACATGAAAGTTGTTCCTAATGATCTTATATTTCTATAAAGGTATGGTATGGCTTCATATGATTTGTATAACTCTACTTATGACCTTGGCAAGCCAGGGGTATTTTGGGAAAGTGGAATTACAGGTCATTTCAAGCATATGCCCAAAACTCCTATTTCCAAATTTCAAATGAAAAAATGTTCAACATCAAACTTGCTATAAATGACATTTTGAGTCTAGAAAAGTGGTTGTGGCAAGTTAGAAATGGATGGAACTTAGATTTGCAAAATTGACCAATATTAAAGGGAAAAATACCTTTTTAATGACCAAAATTGTGATTTTTTTGATACAAAAGTAAAACCAAGCATATGACCAACCATTTTGAAGGTAAATTGCATTTTAAGATCATTGGTAATATTAGTTTTTTGGTTTGAAGTCAAGAAATTGGAATTATCATAAGTTGCTTGTATGAAAAGATACACTTGCCAAATCAAGCTAAGACCAAAGTGCAAGGCAATGGATGGTTTCTACACTCTCTAATTGTCATGAAAGGAGAAATCCAAGAGATTTTGAGGGGCTGTAACAAGGCAATGCAAAGTTGGTTTTTCCACTTGACCATTTTCATTTTCTCATGCAATGATATGAATAACTTCTCATGGGATTAATCTAGCTTCTTCTAGAACTTTCCATCATCATCTATATAAACCCTAGAGCTGATCCATGAAGGGGTTGCACTTCATTTTGATCCAAAACACATAGTTTCACTCTATCTTGCATTTTTGCAAATTCATTCAAAATCTCTCAATTCTTCATCATTCTTCAAAGTTATTGATCCTACCATACTCCATATTCATCATAGATCACAT